AGCCAAGAGTGATGGTGGGCGCCTATAATCCCACCTACTGGGGAGGGTGAGGCAGGAGAATCACTTAAACCCAGGAGGTGGGGGTTGCAGCGAGCTGAGATTACGCTACTCCACTCCAGTCTGGGCAACAAGAGCAAGACTCCATCTCAAAAAACAAACAAAAATGAATTCAGTGTCTCCTTGGGAGCTATAAACAGTGGGTGCAATTTTTCAGTGACAACACAAACATGTAAAACTGATGAAGCAGAAATTGTACCTGATTCTTACATGTTCATGCATATGGTGATACAAATACAAACATTTTATTTTGCAGACGAGAGAATATTTCCAGTTTTGGCCTGTGAAGAACAAAAACTAGGACAAAGCTTTCTGTCTCTTTGTCAGAGAAATCTCATCAGCTTTAAATGCCACCAATGCAATTGTGAAATGATTTGACCTAAGGTTTAACTATCTATAATTCCTCAGTTCACAGGTACAACAAATGTTGGCTCCTCCTTTTCTGTGTGTGTGTGTGCTGATTGATTTTAAAAAAAAATCTGGAAAACTCTTAACATAAAGATTGCATTTAAGGATTAGAACTTAGTCCTACCTGCACAGGGATCCTTAAGTTCTGTCATTCTGCTACTAAAGCCAAGCTTCTTGGTACCACTCAGAAGCTTATGTCATAGACAGAAAGGGAAAGGCAAAAATGAAAAAGAGGAATATGAAAAAGTAGGAGAGAAAAAGAAAAACATTAACAATTTCCCTATAATTCTATCAAATGAGCATATGTCAGCCAGGCACAGCGACTCATGCCTGTAATCCCAGCACTCTGGGAAGCCAAGGCAGGCGGATCACTTGAACTCAGGAACTCGAGACCAGCCTGGCCAACGTAGTAAAACCCCATCTGTATTAAACATACAAAAATTAGTTGTGCATGGTGGAGTGGTCTGTAGTCCCGGCTACTCAGGAGGCTGAAGCATGAGAATAGCTTGAACCTGGGAGGCGGAGGCTGCAGTGAGGTGAGATTGTACCATTGCCCTCTAGCCTGGGTGACAGAAAGAGACTCCATTTCAATAATAAAAGAGAATATGTCCTGTGTTAGCTTGCAAAAGAAAGAAAGAAAGATTTGTGCTGTCATAGAACTTAACATTTCTGAATTCAGTGATAAAATCATGTTCATGTTGGTTTATCAAACACATTTAATTTACCTTTTATATGTACAAATATCAGATAATATTTATAAATAAATCTAAATTTGGAATGAATGTTGTCTTGTTTTCAGGCTGGGCTGGTTTGATTATTTTGTTATTAGATCATTATTTTGTTTTCAGTAACTGTGAATAACAATGTTTTGTATGATTTGGTTTGTTTTTGCTCATGAACACCGTAACTGCAAATTAAAGAAATACTCTCAAATACCTGAGTCCATATAAATACCCATTTCAACACCGAATTTGGTAAAAGTCACAATAATTTGCAACGGAAGCACTGAATGTGAAATAGACATATCCTATAAATAATAAAGCTTGGAGCATTGTATCCAAAGTGCTAAACTGCCATTTTAGAAGTTGAAGAAAAATGTAAATTGCTTTTCTGGCCAGTTAATAATGGTTTAAATATTAGGATTTTTGATGTAAGTCATGATTTCTGAGATTTATACTGGAGAAGCACTTAGCAAGAAAAATATTGTCAGCATTTCTAGTGACATTGCTGTTGAAAAACCTCAATCTCAAGGTATACAAAACTACTGTCACATTTTGCTATCAGAAAGTGCTCTTGCCTTCTGTAATGGAACTCCATAGTTGTATGCATTAAACAGAAATTAAAAAGAAATGAGTAAAGAAGAAAACAGAAGGGAAGAGAGAAAAGGCAAAGCAGGAGGGAAAAGAATTGGTCCACCTTCTTCCGAGTATTCAATGTGGCATATAGAGCAGCACCACTTTTGGCAAACTTTAGACCACAGTGTACCTGTTTTAAACGCAGGCCACTGAATTAAAATCTGTGGCTCCCAAATTTCAAAGGCGGTTAATGTAGTAATTTGCTGGGAGTTACCAAAGGCAGAGAAAATATTGCTTCATGATAATATCCTAGCTATGGAAAATAATTAGCACTTTCAGGCAACAAGGATTAGAAAAGCAAATTTTCCCTAAATTCTCTGCCAAATTCACCCAAAATTTCAGGATACAGCACAGGAATTCCAAGGCAGACAACCACACGAGATTCTGTTTTCACAATCTCAAAATTCATCATTCTAGAATGTTCTAGAGTTATATCACTGACCTTTTCGGGCAACCCTTTTCTGCACAGACCACTACTGGTAGTCGAGAGCTGTAGGTAAAATTGGCTCTCATAAAAAAGAAAGGCATTGTATTTGAAGTCTTTACAGCAGATGTTTTTGTGGGACTTAGTGAAGGAGGGAAGGAACCTCTTTCAATTTGTGAGCCATCAACAAATCTGAGTGCCATTTGTGTGTTTCACTGGCCATTCTAAATAAGTAGAAAGGAAACTGGGATGGAATTAGGAAATAACATTCCATTCTGGCTCTTTCAGTAACACCCAATTTATGGTTATATAAGATGCATTTTCCCCTATGCAAAAGACAATTCAAAAATTGCTCCATCTCGTACGTGTCCATATCACAAACGGAAGGCCTAGTACTAAAGATACAAAATAATGATGCCACCTCTAGTGGTCAAATAAGGAAACATAAAGCATAACATCAAAAACAAGAGTTTCCCATCGTAATGGTATTTTCCTTAACGAAAATAACAAATCACAGGGCAACTGATCATAAGGAAAGCATTACCCTAAAATTTTATATTTAAATTTGTTACTACTATAATGACCTTGCATACCAAAACTGACTGACATCTATACAGTTCTGTGTAGTGCTGAGATTTTCATATCTATTTTTTTCAGAGTCAGACTTTTTTTGCTAATATAGTACCCAAGATATCTTACTGGATTCTAATATATAGGATATCACATTTACATCAACAAGATAATATTTTTCATTTTATACTTTCAGATCATTGTCTCTATATAACAAAAGGTATTTAATATTTTAATTTCCAAAAATTTCTCTGTAAATAAGATGCATCATACACGGACTTGTATGTCTTACAGAATACCAATTATATTATGTTTATTTCTTTGTGTTACAGTTTCCTTGTTTACCTTATAGAGATGATTCAGGCCCCTACTAAATCTACCAGGCTATTGCAACTATCAAGATCATTTATGCAAAAGTCATTTGAGAAAAATAAAGCATTATGTAAAACATTGCTACGCTGATACCAACTATATGAGCAACTAGGGATTAAGCCAGATCCCTTTGGGGAAGAGAATATTCAACTTCCTCCACTACGGTGAGGTGATTAAAGCCTGTATAGACCAGCTGGGTAACCCTAGAGGGAAAGAAATTGTTTAAAGAGAACTTTCTAAGGCTGGTAGGAAGTTAAATTTTCTTGCCAATAGAAGAAGCTGAACTATTTATTCTGTACACATTAAATTTGAAGTTGGTCTCTGATTTTCTCCCGTTGCCCAAGAGTTTAAAAAAGAGAGATGACCACATCTACTCATGACTAACAGATCAAATGTTTTTGTCTGCAGTAAACACAAAAATTACTGAATTTCCTTTCAGAAGCAATAGTTGCATAGACATTTATTACGATTTACTCCTCCACAAATCAAAACAATTTTTTCTTTAGAAATACTCTCAGATTGGGGCCGGGCACGGTGGCTCACGCCTGTAATCCCAGCACTTCGGGAGGCCGAGGCGGGTGGATCACGAGGTCAAGAGATTGAGACCATCCTGGTCAACATGGCGAAACCCCGTCTCTACTAAAAATACAAAAAATTAGCTGGGCATGGTGGTGCGTGCCTGTAATCTCAGCTACTCAGGAGGCGGAGGTTGCGGTGAGCTGAGATTGCACCATTGCACTCCAGCTTGGGTAACAAGAGCGAAACTCTGTCTCAAAAAAAAAAAACAAAAAACAAAACAAAACAAAAAAAACCTCTCAGATTGGCTGAGTGTGGTGGCTCACACCTGTAATCCCAGCACTTTGGGTGGCTGAGGCGGGTGGATCACTTGAGATCGGGAGTTCGAGACCAGCCAGGCCAACATGGTGAAACTGTGTCTCTACTAAAAATACAAAAATTAGCCAGGTGTGGAGGCACACACCTGTAATCCCAGCTACTGGGGAGGAGGCTGAAGCATGAGAATCACTTGAACCTGGGAGGGGAAGTTGCCGTGAGCCGAAATCATGCCACTGCACTCCAGCCTGGGTGATAGAGTGAGATTCCATCTCAAAAATAAAAAATAAAAAATAAGAAAGAAAGAAAAAGAAATACTCCCAGGTATATACTTCATCCTTTAACATTGTCCAAGTACTTGAAATCTGAATGCTCCTCTCAGATGTATTTTAAATCAAATTCTATACACATAATCATCTTGTCTAATTTCAGTCCCCTACATAAGTATCTCAGCAAGAAGTCCAGCTTTTACTAAGATTACCTGTTTTAGATGTGTGTTAGAGTGGAAAATGCAAAAGTAGAGAAAAAAGGCTGGACGGAACTGCATTAAAATGGAAACAATTTTTTCCACTGGTCAACAGGATTAATGGAGCCATTAACCCATATGCTCTACAAGTGTGTCTGTTTCACAAAAGTGTAATACTTTTATAACATGGCTGTGGGGAGTCAGCTGCATAGAAAGTCTCAGGAATGCTAGATCAATATAACACCTCAGGTGCCACCGAAATGGTCTCAGACATTTAGGAATTGGAAGGCTCACAAAAGCTACTTTCACAGCTAGCTCAACCTGCTTAAACAATGTTAAATGCATAATAGTCTTTTTTTTTTTTTTTAAGAGATAAATAGCATTTTAGAAAAAAAATAAAGAAAAGCATATTCTCTTTTGGGAGCAACTGATTTGGCAAAATTTAACAAGGTTTTAAAAAACTCAACAGTCGTGAAGCACCATTAAATATTCACACAAAAAGACCCAGACAGCTTAAAGATCAATATTTCCTTGGTCACAAGACACCTAATTGACTTGCAACAAGACAAAACGTTCAGTGTATCTGGTTGGGGCCAACATGGATGATGACATGTTTCTCATAAGCCCTTTTCATTGTTTTCTCAATTTGCTTCAGAAAAACTTGCGGGATTCGTCCACATAAAGTGTGCACAGTCTCCAAAAACTTCAGCTGAAGGGGGTAATACATGGATTGAAAGAGATTGTCTTGAAAGGGAAACTGAAAGATGACCAAAAAAAAGTTTATTTTAGTAACGGAAATACTATTTTAGATGCAGACCATTTTTACTAAGAAATGACATAAGAATTGCAATAAGCACACAGGCACAGGTTTGGACAAGTGAAAAGACCTTTGAGGATCTAAGTTAAAATCCTGTCTCAGTTGTGCAACCTCAGGTAATCATTTAAACTCTCTGAACCTCAGTATTTTTTTTTTACTTCTTTAAAAAGAAAAAGGCTAGGCATGGTGGCTTATACCTGTAACCCCAGGGCTTTGATAGGCCAAGGTAGGAGGACCACTTGAGCCCAGTGGCTGAGACCAGCCTGGGCAACATGGAAAGATCCGTCTCATTAAAAAAGAATAGTAATAAAATTTTAAAAATATAAAGATTTGCCGGGCACGGTGGCTCACGCCTGTAATCCTAGCACTTTGAGAGGCTGAGGTGGGTGGATCACCTGAGGTCAGGAGTTCAAGACCAGCCTGGCCAACATGGTGAAACCCCATCTTTAAATAAATAAATAAATAAAAATAAAAATATAAAGATTTATTTGAGTCCTTAAGGCTCTTATAATCTAAAAAGGATACATGTCTCTAAGGCCTGGAAAGTCCATATATAGCATGTTTATGCTGAGTAGAAGGAAGACTTAAGACTTCACTCACTTGAAATCTACTGCAACAAAACAATGAATTCTTCATCTTTTCTGCCTTTTAAGTAATTTTAGGCTGGTGCAGTGGCTCACGCCTGTAATCTCAGCACTTTGGGAGGCTGAGGCGGGTGGATCACGAGGTCAGGAGTTTGAGACCAGCCTGATCAACATGGTGAAACCCCATCTCTACTAAAAATACCAAAATTAGCCGGACATGGTGGTAGTGGTGGTGCATGCTTGTAATCCCAGCTACTCAGCAGACTGAGAATTGCTTGAACCTGGGAGGCAGAGGTTGCAGTGAGCCAAGATCGTGCCACCACACTCCAGCCTGGGTGACAGAGTGAGACTCCATCTCAAAAAAAAAAGTAATCTCGGCCGGGCGCGGTGGCTCAAGCCTGTAATCCCAGCACTTTGGGAGGCCGAGGCGGGTGGATCACGAGGTCGAGAGATCAAGACCATCCTGGTCAACATGGTGAAACCCCGTCTCTACTAAAAATACAAAAAATTAGCTGGGCATGGTGGCGTGTGCCTGTAATCCCAGCTACTCAGGAGGCTGAGGCAGGAGAATTGCTTGAACCCAGGAGGCGGAGGTTGCGGTGAGCCGAGATCGCGCCATTGCACTCCAGCCTGGGTAACAAGAGCGAAACTCCGTCTCAAAAAAAAAAAAAAAAAAAAAAAAAAAAAAAAGTAATCTTAATGAAGAAACCTTAGGGCAGGCATCCCCAAACTACGGCCCGTGGGCCACATGCGGCCCCCTGAGGCCATTTATCCGGCCCCTCCGCCGCACTTCAGGAAGGGGCACCTCTTTCATTGGTGGTCAGTGAGAGAAGCACAGTATGTGGCGGCCCTCCAACGGTCTGAGGGACAGTGAACTGGCCCCTGTGTAAAAAGTTTGGGGATGTCTGCCTTAGGGTATGTCTATGGCAATCTCATCAAGTTCAGAGTTTAGCAATTACTAGTAAAGTTTATTGGCAATAAACCATATTTTAATAATTCAGGTACCAAATATTAGTGATTGTTTACTACTATCTTAATATTGGGCTTTTGAGATCATCATTTTAAAAAAAATCTTATGTTTTTTTCATGGAATATGTCTATGAGCAGTATTTCCCAAAATAAATCTTTCAGATCACTTAGTTATACACATGTGTCAAAGTTTTATTACAATCTTGTTGAAAGGGAAAAAAGCTGCTAATAGATGAAATCAAAGATCCATTCTTGCTCAGGACATTTATATGGAAAGACTAGTGAGAAAGGAAAGATGAACTGGGTAAGGGTCAGTACACTCTTGCCTAACAGCAGAGGTAGGTGTCTGGTTTCCTAGAACAAATCTTAATCCTTTTAAAATTCATCAGAAATACTGCTTACACAGGATTATTAGAGATGCCAATTTCTTCTCAGAAGGAGATTATGGATTACATAATACAAGAAGGTTCTGTCCCAGACCAAGTTTGGGATACCTTTTCTTTAATCACAAAATTTAAAACCATTGATAAATCCCTTGAGGCCAGTCTTGAATCTGTCCTTTTCACCACTGTAGCCCCAGTAATGGGAACAGGATAGTTCAAAACCTTGGAATCACCCTCAATTCCTCTCTTTCCCCTGAGAACCCTTATCCAATTCATCAGCAAGTCCTATAAATTCTATCTCAAAACATATCCAAAATATGGCCACTTCTTCCCATTTTCCTGCTACCATGCAAGCCCATGCCAGCCCCAACTGCTCACCTGGGTGGCTGCGATTAGGCTCACAAATAAATAGCCTTTGTGTTTTCACTCTCGCATCCCTTGCATAAATCAGAGCCTATCACTTTCCCGAAGGGGCTTTCCACTGTGGTTAGAATAAGATTCCAACTTCTTCCTTTTTCTAAAGACTCAAGGTAACCTGTAAACTCTCCCCTCTCTTCCTTTCTCCTCTTATCTGGCCACTCCTGTCTTTCCAGCACACCAAATTCATTCCGGACTCTGGGACTTTCCCCTGGTTATTCTTTCTGCTTAATGGAATCTTCCACAGGGCTGCCTCCACTGGTAAGTCTAGGACTTGCAAGCAGCCTTCCCGCCGCCCCCAGCTGGTGGAACGCTCCTTTCCAGCCCGGGACTTTTGGACCCATCAGCCCACTCTTTTTACACCTTTTGAACTCCTTTCACTATCCCAGAGGATTTTTGTTTGTTTGTTTGTTTTTAGATAGGGTCTTCTTTTGTCCCCAGGCTGAAGTGCAGAGGGGCAATCATGGTTCACTGCAGCCTGGAACTGCTGGGCCCAAGTAATCCTCCACCTCAGCCTCATTAGCTGAGGCCACAGGTACTTGCCACCATGCCCAGTTTTTTGTTTGTTTTGTTTTGTTTGTTTTTTCCTATAGAGGCAAAGTCTTGCTCTGTTGTTCAGGTTGGAGTACAGAAACGCAGTCCTAGCTCACTGTAGTCTTGACCTCCTAAACTCCAGGGATCCTCCAACCCCAGGTCCAACCCTTCCCTGCCCAGTAGCTGGGACTACAGGCATGTGCCAACAGGCTAATTTTTTTTTCTTTTTATTCATTTTTGTAGAGACACATCTCACTACGTTGCCCAGGCTGGATTTTTCTTTGTTTTTTCAATGAGTATTGTCTGGTTTCCCCCACCAGAATACATGCTTCTTGAAGACTAGAGCTTTGTCCATCTTATTACTTTCCAAATTCCTAGAAACTAGAATTATTTCTGCATAAAATAGGTGCTTCATAAGTGATTGTCAAGAGAATTATTGAAAAAATGTCTAATGATAGATGTCTTCCTTGCAAGGAGGTTGTACTGCCCTTTCACACAAACATGTAACACATAGGGTAGTATGTCTGTGAGCACCTGAAACAGAAAGAGAGAGCAATAGAAAGAGAGGGAACATTTTCAAAGAGAGATAGAAAGAGAAAAAATATATATAGAGAAAATGTTTATAAGCAAGAAGAAAGTGAGAAATGTGAAAAAGCTAGGAAAAGTGTAAAATTGTTATCATCAAAACAATTTCTTTATATCTTTTTTTTTTTTTTTTTTGAGATGGAGTCTCAGTCTGTTGTCTAGGCTGGAGTGCAATGGCACAATCCTGGTTCGCTACAACCTCTTCTTCCTGGGTTCAAGCCATTCTTCTACCTCAGCCTCCCAAGTAGCTGGGATTACAGGCATGCGCCACCACTCCCAGCTAATTTTTGTATTTGTAGTAGAGATAGGGTTTTATCATTTTGGTCAGGCTAGTCTTGAACTCCCAATCTCAAGTGATCCACCTGCCTTGGCCTCCTAAATCGCTGGGATTATAGGTGTAAGCCACCACACCTGGCTGAAACAACGTCTAATTATCGCACACACTGTAAATCAGGTGCTGTACTAAAAGTGTAAAGATAATCATTTTGTTGAATTCTCACAACACTTCTTTGAGGTAGATAATATTATCTCCACTTCACAAATGAAAAAGCTGAGGCCCAGTAAGGTAAGAGCACAGTTAATGGTGAATTACCAGAAAGTGACAAAACTGGGATTTGAACCCGTCTGTCCAGGCCCAAAGGCAAGCTCTGTGCCCAGTGCAGTACTCATGCCTATAATCTTAGCACTTTGGAGGCTGAGGCAGAGAGTTCAAGACCAACCTGGGCAACATAGTAAGACCCTGTCTCTGAAAAAATGCACTCAAAAAAAAAAAAAAAAAAAGAAAAGAAACGAAATAAAAAAATAAGGTATGCATTTGGTAGGGAGAATTCCAACTCCAGGTTCACAGCATTGTAGATAATTGGAAAATACATCTTTTATTACACAGTCTCTTTATGTTTACTCACATTTTGGGTCAGGGCTAGTGATTTTTCTGATTAAATGTCTGTGAATGAAAACTGTATTTTTAGGCCCAACTGAGGAAAATCATGGAATGTACTAAGTAGAATCATTTATGAAAGAAAGTTGTTCAGCCTTCTTTCGGATCCCCCAGAAAACAAACAAGATGAATTGTAACTCAAGAACCACAACTGCTCAATCCAAACCAGGGGTGACAGATCACAAAAGAAATCCAAGAGTGGCTCTGATAGACACGTGGCTGCTGTGTATTATTTAACTTCTGCTTGTATTCCTGAATGAGTTTGCCCCCAGAGTCAGTGTTTGAATATTTAAATGTGAGGATATCATTAAGCACAGAACAAATTTTCTGCATAATTAAATCACCCAGCCTTTGAAAACCAAACAGCAGGAAATGCCGAAGAAAAAGATGTTTCCTTGGATGCATGCTAAACACATTCCCCGTAGAGAAGTCAACTCTGGGAATTTTTTTTTTTTTTTTTTTTTTTTTTTTTTTTGACATGGAGTTTTGCTATTGTTGCCCAGACTGGAGTGTAGTGGCGTGATCTAAGCTCACTGTAATCTCCACCTCCGGGTTCAAGTGATTCTCCTGCCTCAGCTTCCTGAGCAGCTGGGGTTACAGGCATACACCACCGCACTCAGCTGATTTTGTATTTTTAGTAGAGATGGGGTTTCTCCATGTTGGTCAGGCTGCTCTCAAACGCCTGACCTCAGGTGATCCGCCTGCCTTGGCCTCCCACAGTGCTGGGATTACAGGTATGAGCCATTGCCCCCAGTCAACTCTGGGAATTTCAGAGTTGGAATTCTCCAGGACTCTCCCTACCAATGCATATCTTATTTTTTTCATTTCATTTCTTTTTTTTTTTTTTTTGAATGCATTTTTTCAGAGACCGGGTCTTACTATGTTGCCCAGGTTGGTCTTGAACTCTTTGCCTCAGGCCTCCAAAGTGCTGAGATTATAGGCATGAGCTACTACACTGGGCCTAATTAATTAATTAATTAATTGGGTTTTATTTAATTAATTAATTTATTTTTGAAAGGGAGTGTCGCTCCGTCACCCAGGCTGGAGTGCAGTGGCACAATCATGGCTCACTGCAACCTCTGCCTTCCCAGGTTCAAGCAATTCTCCTGTCTCAGCCTCCCGAATAGCTGGGATTATAGGCATGCACCACCACACCTGGCTAATTTTTGTATTTTTAGTAGAGACGGGGTTTCACTGTGTTGGCCAGGCTGGTCTTGAATTCTTGATCTCAAGTGATCTGCCGACCTCAGCTTCCCAATGTGCTGAGATTACAGGTGTGATGGCTCATACCTGGCCAATTTCATTTTTTTGAGATGGAGTTTCCGTATGTTGGCTGCGCTGATCTCAAACTCCTGATCTCAAGCAATCCTCCCACCTCAGCCTCTTAAAGTGCTGGGATTATAGGCATGAGCCACTGTGCTGGGTCTCTTTTTTTTCTTTTTTGTAAATGCACATTTTTATACACAAAAAAATGTTACTATATTATGGGATTTACTCCCACCTCACTTCTACCAAAGCCTTTTCACAAAACTTAAGCGAATTCAATTCTTAACAACAAAGCCCTAATAAATTCTACATGTTTTATGTCAGAGGTTGGCAAACATTTTCTGTAAAGGAGTACATGGTAAATATTTTAGGCTTTGTAGACCATATGTTCTTTGTCACAACGAATCATCCTGCTGTTACAGTGCCAACATGGTCATAGATAATACATAAATGGCTGGGCATGACGGCCCAGTAGTCCTAGCACTTCGGGAGGCTGGGATGGGAAGATTACCTGAGACCAGGAGTTTGAAATCAGCCTGGGCAACAAAGCAAAATCCCATCTCTACCAAAAGAAAAGTGACAATACATAAATGAATGGGTGTTACTGGTTCCCAATATGACTTTATTTAGCAGTGCTGAAATTTGAATTTCAGGTAGTTTTCTTGTGTCATGAAATATTCTTTTTTTTTTTTTTTGGATACAGGATCTTGCTCTGTTGCCCAGGCTGGAGTGAAGTGGTACAATCACAGCTCACTGCAGCCTTTAACTCCAGGGGTCAAGCGATCCTCCTGCCTTAGCCTCCCAGGGATCTGAGATTACAGGCATGAAGCTTGCCTTATTTTTTAAATGTTTTGTACAGATGGGTTCTTTGGTTCTTTTTTCCTTTTTTTTTTTTTTTGAGATGGAGTTTCGCTCTTGTTACCCAGGCTAGAGTGCAATGGCGCGATCTTGGCTCATCGCAACCTCCGCCTCCTGGGTTCAGACAATTCCCCTGCCTCAGCTCCCGAGTAGCTGGGATTACAGGTATGCGCCACCATGCCCAGCTAAGATGGGTTCTTACTATGTTCCAGTTTTCTTGAGGGAGTTGCATAAAGGGCTCTAGCCAGCCATGTTCATACCCATACCTGCATTCCTACCCTATTTTCTCCTCTTCTCTCCCATCCCTGGCCCATGGGTCCATAAAGAGGCAAGAATCTTTTCTTCAGTGCCCCTTGGCAGTGAGAAGTTTCCTGCCATTTGTGCTGTATCCACTTGACTCTTATCTTGTAGTCCTTGGTGGAGAAAAATGGAAGACTGAAGAGACAGGGCCTCTGTCTGCTGCTTGCATGCATTTCTGCAGTTAAGCGAATGAAGTCTTGACTGCTACCTTCAGTTTGGCTCCTTGTCCTAAGTGACCACCCTGACCCCCGACTGAGTAACAGACTGGAGCTAGCAACCAGGTAACATATTTAGCTGGAACTGAATGATACCAATTTCTCTTTATTGTCTAATCTTTATCTTAACGTGTTACCTTCCACTATGGCAAAAGGCGTAAGAGTTGTCTTTGTGACATGAAATTTCCTTCTAAAGTAGGTGGCTCACACCTATAATCTCAACACTTTAGAAGGCTGAGGCAGGTGAATCAGTTGAGATCAGGAGTTTGAGACCAGCCTGGCCAACGTGGTGAAACCCTGTCTCTACTAAAAAAACAAAAATTCGCCAGGCATAGTGGCATGTCCCTGTAATCCCAGGTACTTGGGAGGCTGAGGTAGGAGAATCGCTTGAACCCGGGAAGTGGAGGTTGCAGTGAGCCAAGATCCCATCACTGCACTCCAGCCTGGGTGACCAAAAGACAAAAAAACACAGAAATTTCCTCCTAAAGTAAATTTACTTAAGTAAAAGATAATGAATGGTATATGTGGAAATAAGTAAAGTAGATACGATATGGTACAAGGTGGCAAGTGGATATAGTGAAAGAGAGTGACTGAGGTTGGGAATAACTGGTATAACTCTATGTTTTGGGAATATTTGGCCTTCAAAGGGACAGGTGACGAAAGTGCCAGTATTGCTTTGTGCGGATAAGCACATCTGCTAACAGCAGCAAGAACACACTTACATCTCGTATTGCTTCATAGAGTGCTTTGAATGTTGGTTGCTTATCATCATGGTAGACACCTCGGTTTCCATGCAGAATAGAGACACCTTCATGCTCAGCCTCTCTGCAGTTGCTTCCATACATGCAGTGATCGGGACGGTAGTTCCACTGGCAGGGGAATATATAGAGACACTCTGGTGGTGAAAATAAAAAGACATTATGTGCCAGTTCTCAGGTGATAAAACTGTTTTCGCTAACTGTACACACCACATAATTTCAAGGTACAGGAGTGTGACTTTTTACTCACAGATCAAAATTTTGCCCCATTTGTCAAAATTCTGAGATCAAGAATTGCAGGGGCACATAGTGATGATGGACACAGGTGTGTTTGTATCTCTAAACAAGTGGTTCTCAACCAGGGGCGATTTTGCCCCCTCCCCGCTCCTCTACCCCAGGGCCATTTGTCAATATTTGGAGGGAGACACTGTTGGCTGTTATACATGGGGGAGGCTGCTGCTGGCATCTAGTGGCTGCTCTGAACATCCTCTAATGAACAGGACAGTCCCCCACTATAGCAATAGTGCTGGTGTCGAGAAACTGTGCCCTAATCCTATTGGATTCAGAAAATTTCCTCTTGGCGACCAGAATTATACAATTAGCAATATATTCATGACCCTCTAGCTTCCTGGCTCCACAGCTTGATGCTTTTTGAGGTTGGGGTCAGAGGAGTTTAGATCAAAGCTCTCTGCAAACGTGTGTTGCTGATCATGAGAAAGGCCCTGTGAAACAGCGCAAGAGAGGATTACTACAAATCAGTAACGCCACACCATTGGAAAAGTAACTTCAAGATGTGCTTGTTCATTGGGTTGATGGCATTCCTGTCTCATGGAAAAAATTATTGCTTAGTGATTACTTACAGTAAGCTTCAAGACGGAAAGCAAAGAATGAAGTGATTGTCGCACATCCCATCTGGCAGGCTGTGTATGTTTCCATGGTTCCGTCTTTTACAGGCCAGTGACATTTAGGCACCCTTTATCAAATTCCTGATTGCTCAGCACACACTGTGATATTCTCTTTTCTCAGGAGAACTCCATTTTACCATGACATTCCCTTACTTGGATTTACCTGAACATTTGCACATACATAGTCCCTAAGTGGGACGGAGTAGTGGCCATCCTCAAGTCACCCTATCCAGATTTGAATCACAACTCTTCTGTGAGCTGTGTGACCTTTCTTCAATTTAATGCAGAGGTTGGATGTGAGGGCTAAAAAAAGGAAAACATCTAAAAGTGCTTTTGAACTGTGCCTGGCTACAGTCCAACTGCTTCCTTTTGTCACCCAATGCGTCACATCATTCATTAATGATGCCCACCTGAGCATTTACATTGTGCTGTTTGAGCACCTTCTAAAGCTTCCAGTTGAATGAACTGCTTGAGCCTGTTTTTGTAAATACATTGATTGGTTGAATCAATGAATATTTGTTGAGTGTCTGCTGTGTGCACTGTGGACAAAGCAAATAACAGAAAAGGCCAGTTTCTGCCTTCATGAGTTTAGATTGGTCATGTTCCTTGCTATGGCTCTTTCTCTTCCATTTATTAACACTTTGCCCCTTCACTCCCTTCTCTTAATTCCATTCATTCAACCAAACACTTCTGAACACCAACTCCATTTAAAGCACTGAGCCTTGCACTGTGAAAGACATAAAGTTGACACGACCCCTTCTCACACAGACTGTACAATTTTTGTCCTTTTCTCTTGTGTTTTACATCAGGGCTCATGAACTTCCCAGACTCCTGAAATAGTGATTTGTTACCAGTTTCCCAGACCAATACCAATATCATATAATTGGGCCTGTCAACCCCACAATGTAGCACTCATGACTGTGTGTTGCTGGGTCCTTTGGTGCAGTGAATATATACAATGTGGTTGCATGCTCAAGGCCAGGGCTCCAGTGACCCCAGGCAGGAAGAGAATAAGGCACTCCTGGGCCCACTGAAGAGACTTGTCCATGTGAGTGAGTCCTGCTCCCTGAGGTCCCCATGAACTCCTCCCGCTTCCCTAGTATCACACACTCAACTCACAATCTACTGTACTCCATGGGCACCTCAGCTCTTCTCTCTCCCTTCAGGGAGAATTTTACTGCCTCTACTCTAGCTGGATGCCCTGTCTTGTCATCTGTATTTGGCTGGTTTCATTTTCTTCACTATCCACATCCCAGTTTTTTAGAAATTGCCCTTGAAGAAGGAGTAGACAAATGTGGTCATGTTTGAGAGAGGAAAATGCCACAGGTCTTTGCCTCTCTAGAGCCTGATCAAGGGTGGTCCCCAAATTAGAGAATTCAGTTGCAGCTGGGCTGGGCCAGTCTCTTTCTTTGTCAAGAATTAGAATTAAGAAACACAGGAGGGGTGGGGGGAGGTGAGAAAAAAATTTAAAAAAAAAAACACAGGAGATCTATCATCATTGGTTGTGGACTTGTGAAGATGTATTGACTTGGGCTTGACAATCAGGCTGGGCCACATGCAAACAGAGAATGTGGTCTGAGAGGCAGAGTAGAATCAGACTGGCATGGAGAGAAGCAAAGATAACAGAAACCATGAGGCCTCTGAGAGAGGAAGAAACTTCTTTGGTCCTTGGCAACTTCCCAAGGCCAGTTCTCATGAAGCCTGGCTTGACCTGACTCGTGTGGTCATGAGACTGCCCCTGGCCTCTTATAATATCTGCCGTCACTTAGCTGGCTTGAGTGGAATTGTGTTCCCTGAAATCTGAGTGCATTCATCTAAACACATCTTTCTATATAGAATTCCCTTTTGGGTCCTGTCAGATTTACCCCTTCCATAGAACTCTGCTCTTGACTCAGACTCACCTGTAAAGGTGTGAACTCAGTTTTCCACCCCTTGATGAAGCTGCCTTGGCTCACCTGCCAGGAAATGTCCTGTGGGATGAGATACCTGCATGCCCCCAAGGGTTTCAGCTGTCTCTTCTCGAGTCAGTCTATTACCCAGCACTGCAATTATATACCCACAGGTATTTACTAATTACAGCAAGAGTTTTAAAACACTTTCTAGCTAATGACTTTTAAACACATTTTAAAAAGCGGTGTTATCAGTTATAAGAGACTATAATAATGACAACATTCCTGATATATGTTACAGGTTTTATGTGCATTGCTTCAACCGTGGCAACCTGAAGAACCGTAACAATAAACATGTTTATCTGCTGTGCCGTGGCCAATACTGTCTCCCTCTTTCCTTTCCAGGGATAAAGGTGACAAATCTTTTTTCAAATATAGTTTGTTCTGGTTTGTGGGAAGTACTCGGCAATCAACATACATGAAGAGAAACCTTACAATGTGATGGTTATTTGTTGGATCTCAGTTCAAAGATCCCATGTTTAATCAAGTACCTGGGTAAAGTGGGAAACAGGAAGATCAAATACAGGCTGTACAAAGAATAATCAGAAAGTCCACCTAATAATCACTCATCTAAAACCAGAAAACTTGGTTATTTACTTGACATTGTACAGAACCAAAATTTAGAACAACGTCACAATTATTTTCCAATATCCTATTTTACTCAATGTATCTCAGATGGAGAGTGTAGAAGCAATTAATCTCCTCTGGTTTCAGCCCCAATTAAAGACAAGGGACTCCTGTTTAATTGCAAAGCTGTTTACAACTGCCTTTGGGTATTATTTACTCTCTAATCACGCACGTCCTCAAATAATCAGCAACAGGCTAAGAGGATCTGGGGAGGCAACTGTGTGAATCTTTTGGATTCCTCAGTCTAGGAATCCAAACTGAGAGACTGATGTAAGTCTCTCTGTCCATATTGTTTCAGTCACACGACAAAGTGGAAACACAATATTTAAAGAAAAGGGCCGAGTGTGGTGGCTCATGCCTGTATTCCCTCAAGTGATCCACTGGGCAGATCAAAAAATTAGCCGGTAATGGTGGCAGAGGCCTGTAATACAAAAATTACAAAAATTAGGTGGGTGTGGTGGCAGGTGCCTGTAATCCCAGCTATTCAGGAGGCTGAGGCAGAAGAATCTGCAGTGAGCCAAGATCCTGCCACTGTACTCCAGCCTGGGTGACAGAGAGAGACTGTTTCAAAAAAAAAAAAAAAAAAAAAAAAAAAAAAAAAAAAAAAAAGCCGGGCATGGTGGCTCATGCCTGTAATCCTAGCACCACTTTGGGAGGCTGAGGCTGATGGATCACTTGAGGTCAGGAGTTCAAGACCAGCCTAGCCAACATGGTGAAACCCCGTCTCTACTAAAAATACAAAAATTAGCCGTGTGTGGTGGCAGGTGCACCTGTAACCCAGCTACTCAAGAGGCTGAGGCAAGAGAATCACTTGAACCCAGGAGGCAGAGGTTGCAGTAAGCTGAGATTGTGCCACTGCACTCCAGTCTGGGCGACAGAGCAAGATTCCATCTCAAGAAAGAGAGAGAGAGAGAGAGAGAGAGAGAGAGAGAGAGAGAGAGAGAGAGAGAGAGAGATGGAGAGAGATGAAACCTACCTATGAAGAAAAAGGAAGAGATGCAGACTTACTGTTACAGTGAAATGGATTAAAGCATGCCCTAAGAGGCTGGACCTAGTGGCTCATGCCTGAAATCCTAGCACTTTGGGAGGCCAAGGTAGGAGGATTGCTTGAGCTCAGGAGTTGCAGATGACCCTGGGCAACATAGTTACACTGCCCCCAATCTCTACAAAAAATTTAAAAATTTGGCTGGGTGCAGTGGCTCACACCTGTAATCGCAGGACTTTGGGAGGCCAAGGCAGGTGGATCACATGAGGTCAGGAGTTCAAGACCAGCCTGACCAACACGGCAAAACCCTGTCTCTACTAAAAATATAAAAATTAGTCAGAGGCCGGGCGCGGTGGCTCAAGCCTGTAATCCCAGCACTTTGGGAGGCCGAGGCGAGTGGATCATGAAGTCAAGAGATCGAGACCATCCTGGTCAACATGGCAAAACCCCGTCTCTACTAAAAATACAAAAAATTAGCTGGGCATGGTGGTGCGTGTCTGTAATCCCAGCTACTCAGAAGGCTGAGGCAGGAGAATTGCCTGAACCCAGGAGGCAGAGGTTGCAGTGAGCTGAGATCGCACCATTGCACTCCAGCCTGGGTAACAAGAGCGAAACTCCGTCTCAAAAAAAAAAAAAAAAAAAAAGGCCGGGCGCGGTGGCTCAAGCCTGTAATCCCAGCACTTTGGGAGGCCGAGGCAGGTGGATCACGAGGTCAAGAGATCGAGACCATCCTGGTCAACATGGTGAAACCCCGTCTCTACTAAAAATACAAAAAATTAGCTGGGCATGGTGGCGCGTGCCTGTAATCCCGGCTGCTCAGGAGGCTGAGGCAGGAGAATTGCCTGAACCCAGGAGGCGGAGGTTGAAGTGAGCCGAGATCGCGCCATTGCACTCCAGCCTGGGTAACAAGAGTGAAACTCCGCCTAAAAAAAAAAAAAAAAGTAAAAAAAAAAAAAATTAGTCAGGCATGGTGGTGGGTGCCTGTAATCCCAGCTACTCGGGAGACTGAGGCAGGAGAATCGCTTGAACCTGGAAGGCAGGGGTTGCAGTGAGCTGAGATCATGCCACTGCGCTCCAGCCTTGGTGACAGAGCAAGACTCCCTCTCCCTGCAGAAAAAAAAAAAATAATAACCGGGTGTGGTGATGTACACCTATAGTCCCAGCTACTTGGAAGGCTGAGCCCAGGAGGTTTAAGCTGCAGTAAGCCATAATCATACCACTGCACACCAGCCTGGGAGACAGAGTGAGACTTCATCTCATTTAAAAAGAAAAAAAAACCAGGGTACAGTGGCTCACACCTACAATCCCAGCACTTTGAGAAGAGGAAGTGGGCAGACCTCCTGAGGTCAGGAGTTCGAGACCAGCCTGGCCAACACAGGGAAACCCATCACTACTAAAAATATAAAAATCTGCCAGGCACGGTGGCACGCTCCTACAATCTCAGCTACTTGGGAGGCTGAGGCAGGAGAATTTCTTGAATTAGGAGGCAGAGATTGCAGTGAGCCAAGATCATGCCACTGCACTCCAGCCTGGGCAACAGAGTCTGTCTCAAAAAAAAAAAAAAAAAAAAAAGCCACAAATGAACAGCTAAGACATTCCCCTTTCTCTACTGAATTAGTACCGGGAATCTTTCCAAGAAACTCTGTATCAACCTGATTTTTTTTTTTCTTTTCCAGGATTTGATCCTTTTTGATCCAAAGTCATATGAAATTGGGTTTTATTCTAGAATTTTGTTTTTTTAAAAAGGTACATAGGATGTGTCTCATGGGTGACATACAAACACAGGCAAAGTCTTTCTGAACAAGAATCTCTACTTTAGGATTTTTAAATGCAAAGGAAAGGCCCGGAAAGGGTAGGGTAAGAATTGCTTTTTTTTTGTCCAAAGATCTTTCTCAAGAAGAAAACATAGTTATAATTTTTTTTGTTTGTTTTGAGACAGAGTCTCACTTGTCATCCAGGCTGGAGTGCAGTGGCATGATTTTGGCTGACTGCAACCTCTGCCTCCTGGGTTCAAGGGATTCTCCTGCCTCAGCCTCCTAGTAGCTGGGATTACAGGTGCCTGCCACCATGCCCAGCTAATTTTTTTGTATTTTTACTAGAGACTGGGTTTCACCATGTTGGCCAGGCTGGTCTCGAACTCCAGACCTCATGTGATCCACCCGCCTCGGCCTCCTAAAGTGCTGGGATTATAGGCATGAGACACTGTACCCAGCAGTTTTAATTTTTTTTTTATTATTTTTATTATTATTATTTTTTAAAGACGAGGTTTCACCATGTTGGTCAGGCTGGTCTTGAGCTCCTGACCTCAGGTGATCCACCCGCCGTTGGCCTCCAAAGTGCTTGAGCCACCACGCTCGGCCCAGTTTTAATTTTTAATAAGAATAAAGTTTTAACAAGGAAGAGGAAAAAAGAAACACACAGACCAGAAATTTTCGTCCCCCTTTCTCCCTCTACCCTACCAAATCATCCACCTAACAATACAAGAAGAATATCTTTTGCCCCAGATGAGAAGCAAAAGGGAATTGGGTATTTGAGTTCTTTTTCTAGGATCTTTTGACCCTGAATATGTCCCTTAACTCTAAGGACCCTGAGAATCAATTTCCTTCAATCTAGCAATTGTTTAGGCTACAGAGGGTCTCGTGCCTAGATTATAATATTTCCATGTAGTGTTCTGCCTCACACCAATTTTGACTATACTTCTTAGAAGAACGGTATAGCAAAATCTAAAAGATTTTCTCTAAAAATGGAGTCCAGTGTTGGAGGTTTCAACATTTGGCCTTCTGTGTCAGTAGTGCAAGGCCCTGCCTGCATCAAATACCCAGGGGGTGCAGATGAAAGGCCAAATGTTGCAGGGGAACACAGGCTTCTCTGTGCACTATTCAAGCCTAGTCAATAGCAACCCGGGCACGGAATGTGCTCTGTGGGGCATGCTGGGTATACTCCTACACAAAAGGCATACTCCAAAGATAACCTACCTGGATTGAAATAAAAAATAATATTTAATAAATCCTGGTCTCCCCACGTGATGGCATTCTTGTACTTCTGGTACAGGGGGTATAACATGTCCTCCCAAGCAAGGCCTGTTGGAATCATGCTGTTCTGGAAAAGAGAAAACCATCAGAACAGCTGAAGCAAAGCAAATACATATTGTCCACTGAGAAACAAAGTAAAGGGACTGGTTTTCTTCCCTTTAGAGGAAGAAAACAAATAGAGGAGGGGTCCTGCTATCCTCAGGGCACAGAACAAAGCAAAATTAGGGCTGTTGATTGCATTTCTTTTGTCAGCTATACACACAGATACTAGATGCACTGGGAACTGATAGTTAAACCTATGGCTTCCACTCAGAAAACCATGCCTAGAATTGAACCCTTCCTTTTTTCCTTCTCTTCCCTCTAGTTTTTTTTTTTTTTTTTTTTTTGAGACAGAGTCTCGCTCTGTCACCCAGGCTCGAGTGCAGTGGCACAATCTCGGTTTCCTGCAATCTCCACCTCCCAGGTTCAAGTGAAGAATCACTTGATTGAAGGCTGGTGCCTCAGCCTCCCAAGTGGCTGAGGATACAGGGGTACACCATCATGCCTGGCTAATTTTTAAATAATTTTTAGTAGAGACAGGGTTTCCGCACATTGGCCAGGCTGTTCTCAAACTCCTGGCCTCAAGTGATCTACCTGCCTCAGCTTCCCAAATACTGGGATCACAGGCGTGAGCAACCACGTCTGGCCTGAAATTTAACCTCTTTCTTTTTCTTTTTTTTAATGATGGAGTCTCGCTCTGTTGCCAGGCTGGAGTACAGAGGCACGATCTTGGCTCACTGCAACCGCTGCCTCCTGGGTTCAAGCAATTTTCCTGCCTCAGCCTTCCAAGTAGCTGGGACTTTAGGTGCTACTTTATTTTATTTTTTAAAATAAAAATATTCTTCCATATCCCATTCCCACTTTCACCAGAAGTATTCACAATTAACAATTAAAGGTCTCTTAGGTATTCTTCTGGACATTTCTTTTTCTTTCTTTCTTTTCTTTTTTAGAGACAGGGTCTCGCTCTGTTGTTTAGGGTGGAGTGCAGTGGCTTAATGCAGCCTGGAACTCCTGGGCTCAAGCAATCCTCCAATCTCAGCTTCCCAAGTAGCTGGGACTACAGGCACATGCCACCATGCCTCATTAATTCTTCTGGAAATTTCTAAGGCATAAAAATAATCACAGTCACAGTAACATGATGTGCTGCATTTAATTTTCTTTCATTTAATGTTTCTTAGAGGCCACATATGGTGGCTTGTGCTCATAATCCCTGCACTTTAGGAGGCCATAGCAGGAAGATCATTTGAGCCCAGGAATTTGAGACCAGCCTGGGCAACATAGTGATACTGTGTCTCTACTGAAATAAAAAAATCAGCTGGGTGTGATGATGCATGCCTGCAGTCCCAGCTACTCAGGAGGCTGAGACAGGAGGATCACTTGAGCCTAGGAGGTCAAGGCTACAGGAGGCTATGATTGCACTATTGCTTTCCAGCCTTGGTAATAGAGCAAGAATCTGTCTCACATATATAATACATTTCTTAGAGATCTTTTTATCTCATTTACAGATCAACCTGTTCTTTTGAATAGAAGGATGGTTTTTTTTTTTTTTTTTTTTTTTTTGAGACAGCATCTCTGTCACCAGGCTGGAGTACAGCGGCATGATCTTGGCTCACTGCAACCTCTGCTGCCCCGGTTTACATGATTCTCCTGCCTCAGCTTCCTGAGTAGCTGGAACTACAGGTGTACAGCATCATGCCTGGCTAATTGTTATATTTTTAGGAGAGACAGGGTTTCGCCGTGTTGGTCAGGCTGGTCTCAAACTCCTGGCCTCAAGTGATCTGCCCGCCGTGGCCTCCCAAAGTGCGATGAGCCACTGCCCCCGACCAGGAGGATAATTTTTTGACTAGTTCTCCACTGATTTTCTTTTAGGTTCTTTCCAGTTCTTTGCTAGGACAAAAGATGAGATCACGAATATTCTTTTTTTTTTTTTTGCGACGGAGTTTCGCTCTTGTTACCCAGGCTGGAGTGCAATGGCGCGATCTCGGCTCACCGCAACCTCCGCCTCCTGGGCTCAGGCAATTCTCCTGCCTCAGCCTCCTGAGTAGCTGGGATTACAGGCACGCGCCACCATGCCCAGCTAATTTTTTGTATTTTTAGTAAAGACGGGGTTTCGCTATGTTGACCAGGATGGTCTCGATCTCTTAACCTCGTGATCCGCCCTCCCAAAGTGCTGGGATTACAGGCTTGAGCCACCATGCCCGGCGATCATGAATATTCTTATATAAATATCGTCAAGGACTTATATAGTCCTAGGGTAATTCCAAGAAATTTTACACTCTCTGAAGCATTGGGTATGAAGAGTTCAAATATTATGGAATTCAGAAATGCAACATAATATTCCTAAATGGTAACTCTGTTGAAACTTTAAATTCCATAGCCATCTGAGCTTTTCCTGAATAAACAAATATTCCATAATTTTCTAAATACTTTTCTTTGGTTCCTTTTAACCTCACCTATGTTCTAGGTCACCTGTTTCCAAAATCAGCACATTGACACTTTGGGAATGTCACTGTTGACAAGACTAACTCCCAGTCTTTAAACAAGGAATTTAAAAGCACTGGTTTACCTTGAACTGGGTACTTCTTATCCGAGTTAAATTCATTAACATGACTCCTGAATTAACTCCCGCAGAGCCATAGAAAGGATGCCTAGCAAAGCGGCTATACCAGCCAATCTTGGGGATTTCATGCTCGGGGGCCATGGCTGCAAGCTGGGTGGAATTAAACAGTCTCAGAAGCTTCCAGATGTCATCAACAGGTCTCAGAAAGAGAACATCGGTGTCCACGTAGAGAAGTGAGTCCACATCCTTTAAAATCACCTTTGTGTGCAAGGAGTGAGCATAAAGGGGAGAGGAGGGACGGAAACAAAACAAAAACAGGTCAGAAACGAAGTGGTCTCATAGGCAGATAATGCCGGCCAACCTTTGTGGATTAATATTAAATTCTGGAAAGGTTCCGCTCTTAGCGCCCATTCCTTCCTTCTTCTTTGACTTAGGAATGAGTGTGAATCAAGAGGTGGAGACTTAAAAGAAGATAAATCTTGGTCTAGTTTAGCCCAGTTATAGGACCGTGGACTATATTTGATAAGGGTTGAACTTACAAAGGAATAAAAACAGCAAATTACTATGGCTTTCACTTCTTCCATCTCCCAATAAGGCCACTTGTTTTTCTCTCTTAGTTTTTCCTTGAAACATCCAGTGTGGCATTAGAAAGCTTGAAGTGGACAATCTAATTTATTTATTATTTATTTATTTATGAGATGAAGTCTCGCTCTGTTACCCAGGCTGAAGTGCAGTGGTGTGATCTCGGCTCACTGCAGCCTAAAGTGGACAATCTCTAAACCAGCTCATACCAAGCCTTGGGGTATGTAAATACTCCCTGTCTTTGGATCTACTTCTTATAGTGTTAATGGGGGAGGGGGGCTCCATCTTCAAAACAAAAGAAAACAAAACTCTCTCTCTCTCTCTCTCTCTCTCTACACACACACACACACACACACACACACACACACACACACATACATAGTTTGCAGATAGGGGTCTTGCTGTGTTGTCCAGCTTGCAGTGCAGTGGCATGCTCTTGGCTCACTGCAGTCTCAACCTCCTGAGCTCAAATGATCTTCTCACCTCAGCCTCCTGAGTAGCTGCAACTATAGCTACGCACCACCAAGCCTGGCTAATTTTTTTTTAAATTATTTGTAGAGATGAGGTGTCATTCTGTTGTGCAGGTTGGTCTTAAATTTCTGGACTCAAGCGATCCTCCCACCTTGGCCTCCCAAAGTGCTGGGATCACAGGTGTGAGCCACTGTGACCCACCTAAAATGATACTTTTAGCTACGATTTCTCTTGGGATTAGGCAGTGCAAGTCATTGGCTAGCTTTGTTTGTAAATCAGCAATCAACAACCTTTTTCCTCTAAAGGACCAGAGAGTAAATATTTCAGGCTCTGTTTCAACTCCTAAAATCTGCTGTTGTAGCATGAAAGCAGCCATTGATAACAGACAAACAATGAGAATGGGCCGGGCGTGGTGGCTCATGTCTGTAATCCCAGTACTTTGGGAAGCTGAGACAGGCAGATGGCTTGATCCCAGGAGTTTAAGACCAGCCAGGGCAAATAGTGAAACCCATCTTTATAAAAAAAAAATAAAAATAGAAAAATTAGCCAGTCATGGTGGCAGGCTTCTGTAGTCCCAGCTACTCAGGAAGCTAAGGTGGGAGGATTGCTTGAACCTGGGAGGTGGAGGTTGCAGTGAGCCAAGATCACACCACTGTACTCCAGCCTGTGTGACAGAGAGAGACTCTGTCTCAAAATAATAATATTAATAATAATAATAATAATGAGAGTGGTTGTGTCCTAATAAAACTTGATTTCAGGACACAGAAGTTTGAATTTCCTATATTTTTCAGATATTACAAAATATCCTTCTTTTGATATTTCGACCATTTGAAACATAAAAGCCACTCCTGGCTCACAGGCTGTGGTTTGCTGACCTCTGCTGTGGATGATTCAAGCCATCTTAGGTGAGTAAGTTCTCCTGTGCGAACTGCTTAGCTCTCCAGAGCTTTGCTTGGAGATTTGAGACTTCAAAGCCATGCTTAGTAGTAGTGTTATTTGCCTTGTTTTGCCATTGTTCCCCAAACTTAGGGGTAGCTTAACCAAGGTAGGGTTTGGATCTTCTTGGATCCCTGCCCTAACGTCATCCTAACACCTTAACACTGATGGACTGAATGTCTGTGTCCCCAGCATTTACATGTCGAAGTCCTCACCCACAATGTGATTGTGATGGCTTCTGGAAAGGAGCCTTTGGGAGATAATTAGGTTTAATTGAGGTCAGAAGGGTTGGGTCCTCAAGATGAGATCAGTGCCCTTATAAGAAGAAACATCAGAGAGGTCTCTCTCTCTCTCTCTCTTTCTGTCTCTCTCTCTCTCTCTTTCTGTCTCTCTCTCTCACTCTGTCTCTCTGTCTCTCTCTCCTCTCTTTTCTCTCTCCTCTTTCTCTCCCCCTCTTTTCTGTCTCTCTCTGCCATGTGAGGACAGAGTGAGAAGGTGGCCATTTGTCAGCCAGGAAGAGGCTCCATCACCACAGCCTGACCATGCTGACACCCTGATCTCAGACTTTCAGCCTCCAGAACCATAAGAAAATTAATTTCTGTTGTTTCAGCCACGAGTCTTGTATTTTGTTATGGCAGCCCAAGCAGACTAGTATAACATGCCACTGGGATCCCGAATATTTAAAATTGATGAACATGGGTACTCTATGATACAAGTAACAAAGGAATTTCAGACTTGAGTAATTCTGAAACCTACATAATTAGCTACGGGATTTATCTTTTGTTCTTCATCTACTAGAGGAATGGATGTTATGAACCAATAAAATGAAATTAAAAATACTGATCATGTGCCATTTCATAAAGATTATCTTAACATCCATTTTAAGAATTTGAAGATTCTAAGTTAGACATGGTGCCTGAGAGGCTGAGGCAGGTGGATCACTTCAGGTCAGGAGTTTGAGACCAGCCTGGCCAATATGGCAAAACCCCATCTCTACTAAAAATCCAACAATAAGCCAGGCATGGTGGTATGTGCCTGGAATCCCAGATACTCAAGAGGCTGAGGCACAAGAATTGCTTGAGCCAAGGAGGTGAAGGTTGCAGTCAGCTGAGATTGTGCCACTGCACTCCAGCCTGGGTGACAGAGTAACTCTGTTTAAAAAAAAAAAAAAAAAAGGCCGGGCGCGGTGGCTCAAGCCTGTAATCCCAGCACTTTGGGAGGCCGAGGTGGGTGGATCACAAGGTCGAGAGATCGAGACCATCCTGGTCAACATGGTGAAACCCCATCTCTACTAAAAAATACAAAAAATTAGCTGGGCATGGTGGCGCGTGCCTGTAATCCCAGCTACTCAAGAGGCTGAGGCAGGAGAATTGCCTGAACCCAGGAGGCGGAGGTTGCGGTGAGCCGAGATCGTGCCATTGCACTCCAGCCTGGGTAACAAGAGTGAAACTCCGTCTCAAAAAAAAAAAAAAAAAAAAAAAAAAAAGGCTGGGTGCGGTGGCACATGTCGGTAATCCCAGCTACTTGGGAGGCTGAGGCAGGAGAATCCCTTGAACCTGGGAGGCAGAGGTTGCAGTGAGCCGACATCATGCCATTGTGCTCCAGCCTGAGGGACAGAGTGAATGAGACTCTGTCTCAAAAAAAAAAAACAAAAAAAAAAAAACAAAAAACCCCAGAATTTGAAGATTCTAATTTCAAAATCAGGAAGAATTCTATAAATTGACTAAGCATTTAATGTGTCGGCATGCTCATTTTGGTATGTAGATCATATTTTAAAGGAACACACAAAAGTAGCCCTAATATTCCATCTCAGAGTAATGTGAGAAAACAGCACTTAAGAATCTTGAGTCTGGTCTTCGTGAGTTCAAGTCTTGGCGGCCTAAGCCACTACCCTCCGAGACTTCAAACAAGTTCCTCAGTTTACCACCCACCCAGATTGTTACAGGATGCAGTGAAATGAAACTCACAAGGTACTCAGTACAGCGGCTGGTACATAGTAAGCACTCAATAAACAGTGGTTTTGTAAGAAGTCTTTGTGTTTTCGCTTTTAAAATGTCAAGTGTAATTAGTTACCATTTGCATCAATGCTCACAGCACTTCAAAACATGTGTTGACCACAAAAAGCATTTTATGTAGTCAAAGTCAAGCAAATCAATGAAGTTTTTGAACCTTCCCAATATCATGATTCATTCAGAAGCTTGACTGAAAATAAGTACATAAGGACTTTTTGCTCTTTATCTGGAAAAAAAAAAAAAAAAAGACCACCCCCTCAACTCCGCCCCAAGAAAAATCACTTTTTGATAGCATTGGATCTCCGGAGGCTAATTTTGCAGCAATTACTGCTGGTATTAATTTGAAGAGGAACATTGTTGGCCTTGTTATAATGGGAAGAGGAATATTTACTGAAAGGATATAAAATTAGCCGTTCTAATTCCTTTATGGAAATTAGCCAGCACTAGCAATGAGGCCTTTGTTTTTTTAGAATGGGGGTAGGGTTAAAAGGCAGCACACAATAGTACTCTGTACGGAAGCTGCTGGCTGTAATGTAACGGATCTTCCTGCTCCCACTCCATGTACCACTCCAACCTTGGCACCCACCTCCAGTGAACCCTGCTCAGCCATCTGCAGCAAGTGTGGGCCAAAGCCTGGCCATGGGCAGCAAGATGCTCAGGGGTTCACCAGTGTACTTTCAAATTCATTTTCAACTTGATGACTTTGACAGTATGACTTGGTGGTTAAAAGCTTTAGGTTTGAAATCTGACTACCTATGTTCAAGTTCCATTTCCACCATTAACTGTGTGATTTTGAGCAAGCTCTTTAAGCCCTTTTTCTTTTTTTTTTCAGACAGGATTTCACTCTGTCACTCAGGCTGGAATGCAGTGGTACAATCATAGCTCACTGAGCCTTCACCTCCTGGGCTCCAGTGATCCTCTCATCTCAGCCTCCTGAGTAGCTGGGACCACAGGCATGAGTCACCACGCCCAGCTAGCTTTTTTTTTTTTTTTTTTTTTTTTCCTTTTTCTTTCTCTTTTTCCTTTTCTGAGAAGAAGTCTTGCACTGCTGCCTTGGCTGGAGTGCAATGGTGTGATCTCAGCTCACTGCAACCTCCACCTCCTGGTTCATGTGACTCTCCTGCCTCAGCCTCCTGAGTAGCTGGGATTACATGTGCCTGCCACCACACTCAGCCAATTTTTTGTATTTTTAGTAAGGACGGGGTTTCACTGTTGGCCAGACGGGTCTTAAACTCCTGACTTCATGATTTGCCCACC